AAATTGAAGTTCTCAGACGTTCAGCAATTGTCCGATTAACTCGTTCAACAGTTCCTTGACTTTGAGGATGATAACTGTTGCTTACTTCGTGTTTAATTCCAATAGATTTCAAAAAATCATTCACTTCCCCTGAAAGGAAGTTTCTCCCTCGATCAGTTTGTATAACTGCAGGGAAACCAAACAAACTGAAAAACTCGTTTAAAAACGTAATTACTGTTGAAGCATGTTGATTGCTATAAACTCGAGCGTATACAAATCTTGTTAGCGAATCAATTAAAACCAAAATTACTTTCTTTGCACCTTGTTTGTAAGTAATTGGTCCTTGTGCGTCCATCTCAAGTCTTTCAAAAATCATTTTAGGGATAGGCTTACAAGCCGGTTCAGAATAAGTAACATTGCTAGACTTACTCACGTAACATTTGTTACAATTTTGACAAAGTTTTTTAACTTCTTCATAGAGCTTAGGCATCCAAAATCTTCTCGCAATTTGTAAATATGTCTTCTCGACACCAAAATGTCCACCAATTGAAGAGTTATGCTCTTCTTCGAAAACTTTTTGCAGCACTTTGTCATTGATGACAACTCGATTTAAATCGTGACCAATTGTTGGTTTGTGGTATAACAAATTGTTCATAAACAGAAAACTTTCATTTAACTTTGAATCAGGTTTGATTGCCAGTTCATCAATAATAGTCTTAATTTCACTATCAGCTTGTTGAGCTTCTATCAGCTTGATTTTCCATTGATCATCCGTTTGATAATGGTAAACAGTTTCAAAACTTTTTCTTAACAATGAATCAATTCCAAGAGCATCATTAATAAACAATTCACTGTTCACTGAATCACAATAAAGTTCATCTGAGTCTAAAGACTCCACAAAATACAAATTTTCAATGTATTCTTGTTCAGGATCAATTGTCTTTCGGTGATCCCATTCGTTTTGATAACGTGACAAACAATCAGGGCCATGTTGATCTCCTTTTGTGTAGATCACTTTGAATTTGTAGCTTGACAAAATAATTGCCCATCGATTTAATCGTTGATTCTTAAACTGAAGCTTAGGTAGCTGACACAGGGCATGGTGATCGGTTTCGACCAAGAATTCATCACCATCCAAATAATGATCAAACTTTTTAACAGCAACCAAAATTGCAAGACATTCTTTCTCGCTAACTGAATAACTTAATTGATGCTTCGCCAACTTCTGTGAAAAGAAGTATAAGGGTTTCCAATTTTTAACTTTCTCAATTGGAATTCGTTCCTCATTATCAGGAATATCATCTAGATTAGCATCTTCTTGAAGCAGTATTCCACCAACTGCAACATCACTAGCGTCTACGCTTAATTTCTTTCTTAATTTCGGATTGAAATGTACCAACATTGTAGTTTCAATTAAAGAGTTTTTCAACTCATCCAAAGCTTGATGGTCTTGACGTAACATTTTAAACTTTCTTTCTTTCGATATCAATCGATACAATGGAGCAGCAAGATTCGAGTAATTTTTAATATACCTTGAAAAATAATTGTAGCACCCTAATTGTGATTGCAATTGTCGAACAGTTGTAGGGTATGGTAATCGCTTTAAAGCGGCAACTTTGTCAGGATCTGGACATATTCCATCGCCATTAACCAAATGTCCTAACAAGATCAATTCACTGCATCCAAATTTGCATTTATCAGTCTTGATTTTGAGATTCCAATCTCGTAAACGTTCAAGAACTAAACTCGTGTTTATTAACAACTCAGACCATGATTTTCCAATAACAGGGATGTCATCAAAGTATCCCAAACATTCAGTGTAATTAAGTCCTTTTAACACTGTATTCATCAATCGTTGAAATTCAAAAGGAGCACAGGCTAACCCCATCGGTAGCCTCTTATACTGGTATTTGCCATCAGGCGTCACAAACACAGTTTTACCTCGCTCACTTGGAGGTATTTCAATCTGGAAATAACCTTGATAAAGGTCGAACATATTAAAATATTTAGCACCACGTATTGCTTCTAAGCAATCATCTATTCTCGGCATTGGATGATAAATCACTTTTGTTAGTCTATTGACTGCACGAAGATCGTTTAACAAACGAAAAGTACCATCAGGTTTTCCAATCAGCATTGCAGGAGAACCACCTTCGGATTGTGATCCATCCTCAATTATATCATTTTTCAAAAGATCAGCAATTATCTTTTCATATTCTTGTCTTTTCTCAATTGTACAAGGATATGGCTTTTGAAAAGGAACGTGATTGTCACCAATATCGATTTTAATCGGCCATCTTTTCCAGGGAACACATCCTAGGTCTGATTTGCATTGGCTAAATACTTCAGGAAACTGCATTAACACATTCAGCAATTCCATTTTCTTTTGATCATCCAGATTATCATCCATTCGCTTCATTAGTCTTTCTTCTAGACTCAATTCAGCTTTTTGTTCTTGACAAAACATTACAGGAACAATGTTGTCAAACTCCTTTGATTCAGACAAATTCATCATGAAATTTGTCTCTCTTCTAACTGCACAGGAATATTTTCCTCGTCTTCATACGGCGAATAAGGCATAACAGGAAGAAAGTTATCAGCAGGCTTTCTTTCCTCAGGAATATCAGGAATTTTATTTACCATAGGCACTTCAGGCCTTCCAATTAACTCCATTGATTCATCTGCCGTACAAAATCGAAACATTAGCTCAGGAGTGAGCCATTCACTACCAACTTTTTCTCTCAAATTCACTTGGTATCGGCCACCATAATTAACCATACCAGCAAAATATACGTCAGCAAAACGATTCCCCAGAACCATCACAGGTTCCAAATTCCTCATCACTTGGAATTTGATTACCCTTGATTCCTTCATCTTAGGATGTTTAAAGATCGCGAAGGCAGCACCTTCGACAGCTTGAAAGCTATTTGCAATAATTCCTCGTACAGCTACATTTGATTGTAGTGTAAAAGCTTTAAGCTTCATTGCCAGATTTAAATCTATGCACGCAGTACATGCTCCAGTATCAACTAGGACGTCGCCAACTTTAATAACTTCTTTATTAGGATAACAAAAAGTTAACCTTACCGTAGGAAAATTCCTAATTTCATCGTCAATGTTTGTTATTAACTCGACTTTCCTATTCTCATGACTTTCGCTCATCATAAAACACATTCCGGAAGCATTTGGTGCTCGAGCTAATGGGCCATTAGCTTCA